ATTAACATTTGTGTTCTTTAAAACTTTGAGCCTAGACAAAAGCAGAGAGAACATCATGAACACACACCTCCTTATCACCCCGTTTCAGTAATTGTCAGTATAGACCCAGCCTCATTTCTCCTTTGCCCTCACCTCGTGGATTTCTTTAAAGCAAATCCCAGACATTATCTAATTTCAGCCTGAACTGATAGAGTGGGGTTCTCCTCGAAAGCCAATTCATCTACCTACTTATCTATCTATCATCTATCTATCTATCTACTTACCTATTTGGGGTTCAAAATGTATCTCTCAGTGATAAAGTTTCTTTTAAAAAATAACCTATAAACATCAACAATGGTTCCTTTTTCTTACTAAATATCTAGGTAGTGTTCAAATTTCTCTGATTGTCCCTAAATGTCTTTTTTCTGTTGGTTGGTCTGAATCAGATTCAGACAAGGTCTGCAAATTACATTTGGTTGACAACCCTCTTAACTCCCTCTTAATCTTTTTTGTTTCCTTGGCCACTTGAAAGAGGCTGAGTTGTTCGTCCTGTAGAATTTCCTGCATTTGGGGTGTAGCCGATGGCATTCTTGTGGTGGCATTTGACATGTGCCTTTCTCCCACCGCTTCCCTGTGAGCTGGAAGAGTTACATCGAGAGACTTGCTCCAATTCAGGTTTAATTTTCTTGGCAAACTGCTTACCAGGTAGCACCCTGTTCCTTGGTTCCCTCCATGTCCTGCTTGAAAGTCTGCACACGAGTTTATAGAAGCAAATGGACATCCCCTTTCACTGTAACTATGTTTTTCTGAGTTTTGGACCCACCTTCAAGAAAGCAATTTCCTCCCTTGTGCCCAAATTAGTCCGTGTTCTGTTTCTGCAGGGTGGGCGGGACCAGACTTGGCAACCAGGTCCCTTGGGCCTCTGAGCTTGCTGCTCCACTTCTGTTCTGGGTTCCTCATTGAAGGTGACTAGACGCTGCTCCTAAAGAGCCAGGAAAGCTTTCTGTTCTGTAGAAAACTGGCCTCTTGGCTTGGGGGTGTCCAGCACCAGGGCCCCCTCCACAAGGGTGGTGGGACTCCTGGCTAGTCAGGGTGCCTCCCGGATCCTGGGCCCTTGGCAGATCTGGAGACCAGTTCTCAGGATGGAGAGCCGGAAGGACGTGGTTAGTTGGCAAGGAGGAGAGGGCTGCTGGAAGGAAGCCTTGCTTCCCTAGAACACAACCAAGACCCAGACAAAGGCCACATTGAACGCCTAGAAGGGGTTCCGAGCCGCAAGACATAGCGGAAGCAGGATGGGATGGGATTAACAGCATCGGTGTTGAGGGCTCAGGATGAGCTGAGCCGAGGGCTTGGGGCACCCTGGATCTGAACCCCCGTTCCGGAACCCTCCTTTCCTAGCTCACCACCTCTGAGACGTTTGGTGTAGGTCCCCGAATGTGGATGCCACTTGTTTCTGACGGTTCATCTCCTTTGGGGCTCAATTTGTCACCTCTGGGTGAACATGCTTAGTTCTGTCCTTGCTAATCAACCTGGCAATGGCAAATCTCATGACCACCGTGCATGGAGAAAGCACCATTCACTGGAGCCACGCTGCCCTGGGGACTGCCCGGACTCTCTGGCCATTGGTGATAACGTGATGTCTTTATTCTCCCGGCCGGGGTTTGTTCATTGGTCAAAGCGCCCAAGTGGACAGAAAGGAACACGTGTGGATCCTTCTGAAAGGTGGATGGTTGTTGGCCTGAGGCTTTCTTCTCAGTTATTTTTCTCTGAAAGCCAACAGGTATTTTATTCAACCAATGTATGTAGAGAACCTCATTGGTGTCACCCTCTGGCCTGGGCACTGAGGGGGCAGGGAGTCTGGGTACAGCCACAGGACTCTCTCCAGAGCTTACTGTCAAGGAAGGGAGAGCAGACATAAAGCAAGCAGCTGACATGCCAGGTGACTGCAGACGGGTTCC